ACAGCGAGTCAGGATAGCGCAGTGACCTGATGTCAGCGCAAGTATCTGCGTCAAGATTGGTCGTAGCGAAGCGCTCTGATCCGGTCGTAGGCTAGTGTAGGCCAGACTCTGGAACAGTGGTGGTACAACACCCACGCATACTGCACAGCTCGAATCTGGTTCCTGAATAGCATCCTGTTGTGAGAGAAAAGGGAGCTGAGCAGACGGGAGGAACGTGGCTGGGATGGGTACAGGTAGCCATCGCAAAAGTGACCAAAATAGGAATCGGGAGCTGCTGAGTTCACAAAAAAACCGCGCTAGCGCATTGATCATGCCACGCTGCAGATGTACCTGGCACTCTGACTGGCAACAGCGACACGACGTCTACTCATCGCGACTCGTGACTGTAGACTGTAGATACGGGATCATGAACAGGGGGCGACTTGATGAGTCTGTGAGTACAGTCGTGCGTACAGTACAGGATGAGGTTTAGGCTAGGAGTCAAGTGTCTGCTGCGCTGCTTCAGACAACCCTTCCTTTGGGTCCGCCCGCACGCGCGCGCCAAACACGATACATACGTGCGTGCATGCATGATGGATGGTGTTCCCCGTGCCTGCTGCTGATGCACAAGACGTCCACCGTGGGCCAGCAGGTGTGCTTGACTGCATGAGCCAGCTAGCTGCACCTAGCTACCTCAAAATCGAGTCACGACCGGATATAGGATGAATGTAGCCCATAGCGGTCTTAGGACGTCGACCGTGAGTATAAGCGCAGTCGTGACATGCCTGAAGCAGGATCGTGTGATGGTGATCACCTTTCACGGGCAGACGCCTCAGCGCCGGTGAAATGATGCGCTGGCTCGAGCACCAAATGTGGGCACCATGCGAAGCGGTCCGAGTCACAAGTCACATTGTTGATGGTCTGCTGCCAAAGCGCAGGCAGCGTCCTCTCTCGCAAGCATATAAAGACGGTCTGCTCTGTGTGCTCAGCATAAATCTAGGACACCATAGAGACTACATTCACTCTTCAGCTCACGGTCCGACGGCCTTCGACTTGTTTTGCGCGAGCTAGCCAGATATATCTCGATCCACCTGCTCAACCTCACACACCGTCGCAATTGTCGACCCCCTCACAGCTCGCCCTCTATCTCGCCAGTCAGAACCTTGATCAACATGGTTGCGGACTCGGTCAACCTCGGACATGCCACTTCAGCCTCCACCGCATCGACTTCAGCTGCGGCCACATCGACATCGAATGCAGATTCAAGCTCCTCAACGGGTCCCACGCCGTTGATAGCATGCGTAATCGTGGGCGCGCTACTGCTAGGTTTAGCATTCCTCTTCTTGCTAGCTCGTCGACTATATGGCCGACAACCAACTGCAGCACAGACGGATCCCGAAGCACAAGGCTCGACGATCCGCCCCAGAAGAGCGAGTGAGAAGCCTCGACACGTCGGTTTGACCGAAGAGGTGCTCGATACTTTCCACGCCTTTTCTTGGACCTCATCCTCAGCAGATGCTCCTTCGATGTACGACAAGAAATGCGATGGCGAGAAGATGGACATCGAGCTTTGCGCTGTGCCGGTTCAACAGAGTCTTCTCATGTCGCCCGTCGCTCGAAGCGCAAGCCTAGC